TGTCACCACCATAAGATTTTGTGTTCCAGTGATATATCAAAATACTTAAATGTGCCTCTTGAATAAAAGCTTTATAAACAATATCATACTCACTGTTTGTTGTGTTTGTTTTAATACAGTAATTGACTGATTCAATGTATTTGATAGTTAAAATTATTACAAATTCAGGTTTTCGTCAACTCCGTCAGTTCTGTCACCTCCGTCAGTTGAATATTTTGATAATATTTCATTATGATATTTTATATTTGTTGAGGAATTGTTGGTCACATGTGAAAGTGTAATATGTCTGCTAACACGAGAATGTGTTTTGAAATGTTAAAAACATCTTGAATGCTGTTAAATATCAAGTTGAAATTATATTACACACTCCAAGGTAAAAAAAGCACATTTTGTTAAAAAAGAGAAAAGTTGGGAGGTTGTATCAAAGCATAGCTCAGTAGCTTAGTACATATAAGATACATAAATGTAGTTTCATTTGTCTGAGTACAAGGTTTTATTTTTTCAATTTTGCACCGTTTTGTCCCACTTCTCAAGAATGACTGTCCCCTAATGTTTCAGATCGTTCCTTCGCTTATTTACTACAAAACCTATATACACCACGTTTCAAGTATAGTTTTATTTGCACATAAGTTTTTTTTTTTTTTTTACAAATCTACATAGAATTCGATATTATTATGTGTATTCTTATCTAATGGCGAACAAAATAGCTAATTTTGTGCAAATTACAAATTATACCTGACCAAATTACGAATACACCTGGAACTCCGTAATCAAAACGTTGATCAGTTCCATTTTCCTTCAATCAGACCTGGCTAGGCGATTCAGCGGTGAGGCGTTCAGAATAAGTTGAACGGGTATCGATTGGTCAGGTCTGGGAAAAGGGAAATGGAAGTCTGCAGACGGGGATAAGAGATTGAAATCCGAATGTGGAACTCTTCTGTTTTTGTCTGTGAGGAAGTACTTTTAGGGAGATGTCTCCTCGGACCTTCTGTGTGTGTTACCTTTCACGTGCAAACCATTAATTGGACAAAGAACTAGTAGATTCCTATCAGATTTGTTTATTGATATGATCAGATGAGCAGCCTCAGTCAGTGCAGTGAACAGACCGACAACAGCAACAGCCTCCATTCCAGAGCTGGTGAGTGACAGTAATGTCCATATAATGCAGATAAACAATGTAGAGCTCGTCAAAGCATGTGTTGAGATTTTCGCAGTCTTTTTTTTTTTTAAGTAACGTTAACGTTACAAATTCTTGCGACTCGATTTCAAGTCACTGTTGTTAAATAGGCGCAAACCTTACCTTGTGAATGTCCTCATAATGATACAGTTTTTGCATCAATCATGTTTAATGAACTTGTAACACTCCAAAGAGAAAGGAAAACTTGAAATCGCATCATATGACCCCTTTAAGGCCCGTTCACACAAAGCATGATAACTATAACAATAGCTATTAGCGTTCACACAAAGACACCATAATATTCCATCTATTATAAGCACTTTGCTTATAAGCAGGATGGATTCTGTCAAATTTTTGTCATCCATCAGCTGGAAAAAAAATAGTTTTGATAGTCATTTCAACGATAGCGTTCCTCTGTGATGTTCTCATTAGGTTAAATATATATTGTGTGTTTGAGTGGTCCAGACGCTACAGTAGTGTGGACCTTATAATGATTTTTAAAACTTTCTTTATCATCCTTGGTGTAAACTGACATTTAGTCTGATTTTGTCATGTAAATGGGATCATTTTCCTGGCCAATTTGAAAAGTTCACAAACTTTCACTGATATGACTAGAGTTGTAGCATTTAAGATGTTAATTTTTAGAATGACTTTACAGCATTATAAATTTAAGGTGTGATCACAGCAAAAGTGTGCAGATAAAAATGTCCATTGTCTAGTGTCATTAGTGTACTAGGGATGTATGAATCACAGCTCACACAGAGGTCACTTTCAAACAAAGCAGCTTTCAGTTCACCAATGCAGCAAATTTAAGTCATATTCCCTATGAAATCTGCGCCCTCATGTGAATTTCCTGATCGTGTGAATTCCAATTGACAAACTGGATTTCACCCTCAAAAATTTGCAGAACGGTATTTGTGGTCGCACCTTTAGACATGAATGGTTCAGAGCTGCTGGAAGGGTTTACGCAGATGCCGTAAAGGAACCATTCACTCAAAAAAAAAAGATGTATCATTTTATTTTGAGCCCATTACTACTTTCTTCTGTGAACCACAAAAACCTTATTTTGAAGAATGTTCACGCTGCTCTTTTTCATCAAATGAGTGAATTGAATCTGCGCTGGCAGGGTGCATTTACACTTGCTGTTGTGCATCCGGGTTGGTTTGGATAAAGTGAACACTTCCTTTTTTCGAACTCTGACGCACACCTGTAAACTATACCCAAGTCTGCCTCAAAAAGGCTAAATGTGTACACGGTATCTGTTTGTGTGGGTTCTCACTCAATTTTCTGACAATTGAGATGACGCACTCAATGAAGCAGAGAGAATATATATCTCATTACTGCTAAAAAAAATAAAAAACTCCTGTGTTCTTTAAAACATTTATAGTACATAGACGCAAGTGCTGTTATGTATTTGTGAACAAAAGCAAAGGTTAAAAAAATTTTTAAATAAAGTATACAACTGAGACAAGCAGTTCTACAAATTTTGCCACCTTCTCCAGTGTTGTCGTTACCTTGTAACAGGTAAACAAATGCCACTTTAATGGTGCAAAAGTACCAGAATATATAATCAGAAATACAATGTGAACACAATCCAGCAGGGTCAGGGAGACATCGAGAAATCAAACCAAATGTAAAAGCACCCTCAAGCTCTAAAAAAGAATGAAAAAAAAACTTAAAAGCAATCTTCATGACATTTGCGTTATAATCCAAGATGTCTGAAGTCATACAACCAAAGTCCTTTTTTAAGGAAAATTAGTTCAGTATTTGTAAAGGCAGCTATTTTGGGTATGCAAGACCAGCTCCTGTCTACTTGAATGGAGACATTCTGAAATCTCAAAAACTGCTGGCCAAACTCACATTTAAATGGCATATTGACATTAACGACCCCATAAACATTATCATCAAATTGTGTTAAAAGGCATATATTTCAGATATTGGTTTAGCCAATGTGTATGTAATTTAATAATTTTAATAATAATTTATGCATTTAGCAGACGCTTTTATCCAAAGTGACTGACAGTGCATTCAGGCTATACATTTTTTACCAGTATGTGTGTTCCCTGGAAATTGAACCCACAACCTTTTGCGCTATTAACGCAATGCTCTACCACTGAGCCACAGGAACACTGTGTATGTTTGTATTGTATGTGCAGTACCAAGTGTAAGTACTTTCTCCTGTTCATTGGAATATGAGAGAACCATCTTGGTATATGCAGCTTTTTGGAAGAAGCCAACTTTAACCCAAAACTCTTGTTTCCCACTGTTATTTGTAGAAATCGTGGACCAGCCTGGAGTAGACATTTTTGGGCAAGTGTACAACCAGTGGAAAAACAAAGAGTGTGTGTGTCCCAACTGCAGCCGGAGCATCGCTGCTTCACGGTTTGCTCCTCACCTGGAGAAATGCCTCGGCATGGGCCGCAACAGCAGTCGCATTGCCAACCGCAGGTATTATGACAACATGCCCAGAAGAAAAATTTAATATAGATGTCACGTGAACTCGAGGCAAACGTTCATGAAGGGTTGGTACTTGCCTGAATGTCTGGAATCCGTTTTTGATAATTCTGGTCATGTGACTGCTATTTTGGAACATGTGATGGTAATGTGTGTGTATATAAATGTATATTTAGAATTGCGAGCGGCAACAACACGAACAAATCGGAGAGCGATCAAGAGGACAACGATGATGTCAATGACAATGACTGGTCTTATGGGGCAGAAAAGAAAGGTGAGTCTGTTATATATCACCTTTCTGTGCAATATTCTAGATTTAATCACTAAACCACTCAAGGGATTTCACTGCATAACTATTTATGAATGTATGCATTTTGTGTTATTTTAACATTTAATATTTTGTTTTCTAGCCAAGAAGAGAAAGTCAGATAAGGTATTTTTACATTCTTTGAAACAACCTGTACACTTGGTAAGTTTGTTTTAGTGATGTATATGTTCTGTTTGCTCTTAGATGGCCTCTCAGCATTTGTAGCCACAGGATCTGGTGCAAATTAGATGTAGAATTAGTTTATTAAAGGATGTAGAATTCTTATCCACAATTCCTGTCAACAAGAATGCTTTGGCTACTAGCTGTTCATAAATTAGCTTTCTAAAAAAGTGCTGGACTGTAGCATATTTTACCTGCCTTTTCCATTACTTTGTCTTTTTAATTGGTTTCATTTTCATATCCTGGCTGCAGGCTAATGTTTGATTGTTATTTTTCCGCACAGAATCCAAATTCACCAAGAAGATCCAAATCCATGAAACATAAAAATGGTAGGTATGTGTTTTTCTTTCTTGTGTGAAATCTGTAATATTATATTCAAGTTTAAGGGCCCCGATATACTCACGGCGAAGTTATTTTTCATTCTTCGCTTAGAGGTTAAAAGAAGTTTGAAAAACTATACTGTTAGCAAACATGCCAATGCTGCTCACGCTGCTGATAGTGGCATTTAGATGAATATGTAAATATGAACTGCATGCTTTCCTCTCAAAATATAAAAATAAACACAACAAAAATAACAGCAGTGGGGGGAAGAAAGCGGTGATTGAGCATCTGATCATATTGACGTGAATATGTCAAAAGTCTTTGCACTTTATGCAATAGATTGAAGGAATAATTCACCCAAAAATTTCAATCCAAACAACTGATAGAAACATCACAACACTCGACAAGAAATCCACACGACTCCAGTCCATCTAGTGAAGCGAAAAGCTGAGTGTTTGTAAGAAACAAATTCATCAAGACATTTTTAACATCAAACTTTTGCTTCTGGCTAAAATATGAGTCCTTTATCTATAATTGTGTGTGAATCAAAAGAGAAATATGCACAGATCAAGTACCATTTGCAACTGAAGACAGTTAAACAAGAAATATCAGTGGGTTTTGATTTGAGAGGACAACTGGGGATGGACTTTTTCATTGGAAGCAGAGTTATGAACTTTTGAATTATGAATTTTTTTTGGTGAACTATTCCAAAAAAGCGAGCAGCTGTACGGTGTCGTTTCCAATTTCTTCAATTTCTGCTATAAAGCAGCTCTCCACTGTGTTCATGTATTTACTCACTTCTAACCTCGACAGACTAAACAACAGAAGAAACGAACCAGAGAAAATTTCCACGTCAAAGAAGGTGGAGCCGCAGAGTGCACCTACTCATTATGTAATCGTCACGGACCAATGGTAGTTCGAAGGCGTTTACCAGCCTGAGCAAACTTTTCCAGGAAGTTGGCTTTGGCAAGTCAACTGATTTTGTTCGAAATGACATCACAACAGTGCGTTCTTCAATTTCGCTTGAAGTATACGGGGCCTTTAGGGGCCATTCACAGAGCGTGTTTTTGCATTGAAAAACATGACGTGGGGAATGGGGGGAAACGCAAAGACACTTTTCTTTAGCTCAATTATCGAATATCCATCTAGTGCATGTTTACAAAGGAAAACGATGGGAATGCAAAAACACAATCCGTGTGAACGGCCCCTGAAGTTGCATTCAGCAAGTTCGAGGTCCATTTTAAATGCTTTACATGCCAGTTAAAAATATCGTAAGCGATAATGTATGCTAGCAGTCAACCGTCTTTGAGACTTTTAAAGTTGACAATTTAAGACATTTTAATTAACTGTCTGGTGAATGGTTTTCTTGAAGCTTTGCTGGGTCCTAAGAGACGTGTGGAGAACCAGGACAGTTTGTGCGTGTTGCTAAGAGAGGAGACATTCTCTCAATAACCCTGTGGGTATCAGGAGTCACTCACTACCCACAGTGCCACACTGTTCACCTTATCACGGGATTGTGTGATCTAAATTATGCTGATCAGTGGAGGAGATGTGGACTAATTCTTCTGTCATTGTTTACATAATTTTTTTTTTCCATTTTCATCTTCAGAATTTTTTGCACACTCTCTCATTGCTTGCTCTGCTTGTGCAGCTTTGATTTCTGGTCTCTCAAAATCGACACATCTAGAATAGAGGAACTTGCACGATTCTCTCAGGGAGGAAGTTAGAACTCATCATATCGGCAGACAGACGCTGGGCCAGCTGAGCTCTCCCATCACTAAGGTGCAGGATTCTTTCTAAGTGAAATTGAAATGAAATTCTCATTCTGGGAGGATTTTACAGCAGTTAATCATGAAATCGTTAAAGATTTAATAGCAAAAAATCAAGATCGTGAACAGTTTCCCATCAGGTAATTACTACACAGTTTCTTATTACATTGTTTTGGAGAATCATGATCCAGTAGAGTATTTTCTTTTCTCTGTAGTTCAATAGCCAAAGTGTGGTACAGTTGTACTGTATTATGTCACTAGTTCTATAGCACATTATCATACTACATTTTTTATTTTCAATAGTAAGTTATTGGTTACAAAGAGAGGAAAGACAGTTTGGCATAGACCTCCAAAAATAATTAAGGCTTGAGAATATCTTTTTCATTGTTCTTTTTTTTTTTTTTTTCTCGATTTTTTTATGTATTAGATGTTTACAGTGTAAGGTGTCCTGTGCGGTCTCACTTTGTGACTGTGATATATATATAGATATATATATCTATATATATATATATGACTAGGTGAAAGATGCTGCTATCCTGACCGTGAGCCATACACTTATGGGCATGTCATCAATGTAATAAAAGATCAGAACTCTGAACATGCTTCATGTGTGTGCTGCAAATATTTATTTCAGAAATATGGGTGTTGTAAAGGCAAAAAAAGTTCCAGTCATTTCTCTTGGTAAAATGCTATGCTTGAGGCTTTGGCTTCTTTAGGAACTATTTTCGTTGGCGGATAAGAAATGCATGATTAACTGTACACTTTTTGTCAGTTAGTAAGAGCTACCATTCCAAGACTACTGATATTTATTACAACAAGAGTAGGGCAATTGTAGGAGAAATGCAATATGTCCAACAATGGCAACATTGCAGATGTCGAACATCCCTAATTCATTACTACTACTACTTGTATGCATTTGTTTTAGAATCTACTTTTTAGCAGCCACAAAACGCAGTGTGAAACTTTTCACTGTTTAAATGAACACTTATAATTGGAAAAACATCACTTTTGACTAAATAGAGTAGTACAGATACTCTTAGGAAAAATGTGTTTGTTTGTTTTTCTGGTCCCAAAATATATAACCAGTAAAAATGAGAAAAACTTAATTTCTTAAAAAAGAATAAGTGATATATTTCTTGACAATACTTGTTAATATTAAATTACTTGATCCTTGTGCGAATATGTTTGATGATGTTTTGAGTAACATTTGAGTAAGTGCAGACTTAAATAAATGGTAGAACACCTATGTTTATTTAACCACTTTTTGCCTTTTTTTTTGACTCTGCATACCTTTTCCTACAGTAAAGCCATAAAGAAGAAAAAAAAAGTTTTGTAAAATAATTAATTGAAACCGTTTGCCAGTATTTTATTTTCAAATAAGCTCACATTTACACTTGTTCATATCCCTAAAATGTCGATTCTCTAATTAAATTAAATATAATTACTTGGCACTGAGGCAGACCAGATTCAAAGAGTCACTTTTAAAACTTTGTCAACAAATTGAGCAACATCAAGAATTGAGGGGGGAACTACAGGCTGTGAGCTGCATTTCCATATTCAAAACAAAAGGTATTTGTACACCAAATTAAACCGTTTTCGAGTAACGTTATAGAAGACATAAGCTGTCGCTTAGTTAGAGGATTTGAGGGGAAGTTATTTGGCAACCCAGAGGGAGGAGATCTGAGAAGCCACACACACTGATAATTAGACATTGGTCAGGCTCTTAAAATGTTGTTGAGAGGCAACCATCATGATAAACGAGGGTTTGACATGCTTTTAGAGGAAGAGATGACACTCTCAACGGACATCGATCGACACTTAGCGACAGAAGAATATATATAACATTAGATATTTGAACGCGATGCGGAAACGCGGAACTTTAAAAAAAAATTGAGTTACTCAGTAACGATTTTTGATTTGTTTCTTAATTATTAGCGGGAAAAAATAATATAAAATGGCTTCTAGATCGGGTTTATCAGGTTTCCCCGTCAACTCCAGTACCCCAATAAACCCCAGCATGAACCCCATGAACCCGGGTCACAGCAGCGCCATGAGAATGCCAGCAATGCCGCAGAATTCCCCCTTCAGAGGGATGGGCAGTACCCCGAACCAGTACCACCAAGTAAGTGTCGAAACCACTCTTTATTTGTTTGAAGCGTTTAGCATCACGCCATAGCTTCAGTCTTCACTTCTGCCCAATATAGGAAGCAACAATGACGATTTAATAGCATATTTATGACAATAAACGTTGTCATAAAATACAAGGATACTTCTTTACAGAAATAAAAAGAGAAAAGAATGACATTTTGAATTCATTATTTTTAAGAGCAGTGTGTGAGGCCCTCGAAGAACAAACATCTTACTTCCGCGTTTGAGTCCCACCATGAACACGACACGCGTGCTTTACTTTGAATATGTTACCTGCAAACAATCGGTTCAGCCACTAACAAAAAGTGCCATGGTAACGCTATTCCATTTTGTAATATACAATGGTGATACGATTATCTTTGGACTGGACATATACAGGTGCATCTCAATAAATTAGAATGTCGTGGAAAAGTTCATTTATTTCAGTAATTCAACTCAAATTGTGAAACTTGTGTATTAAATAAATTCAATGTACACAGACTGAAGTAGTTCAAGTCTTTGGTTCTTTTAACTGTGGTGATTTTGGCTCACATTTAACAAAAACCCACCAATTCACAATCTCAGCAAATTAGAATACTTCATAAAAACATTTTTAGTGAATTGTTGGCCTTCTGGAAAGTATGTTCATTTAGTGAACATGTACTCAATACTTGGTAGGGGCTCCTTTTGTTTTAATTACTGCCTCAATTCGGCGTGGCATGGAGGTGATCAGTTTGTGGCACTGCTGAGGTGGTATGGAAGCCCAGGTTTCTTTGACAGTGGCCTTCAGCTCATCTGGATTTTTTGGTCTCTTGTTTCTCATTTTCCTCTTGATTCTCTATGGGGTTCAGGTCTGGTGAGTTTGCTG